TTTCATTCCTTTATTCACAGTCTTCCCGATATGTGATTTGAACCGTAGACCCTGGTCGAGTATCACACCAAGAATCTTAACTTCAGGCGCTGGGGCAACACTCGCTCCGTTTATGTGTAACGGGACCGCAGGCAGTTGGCGCAGCCGCTGGTTCCTTGTGAAGTGGATGAACGATGTTTTCTCCGCCTCGAAGGTTGCGCCAGATTGCGCCGCCCATTCCAACGCTCGTGGGATGACCTCTGCTGGAGTATGGTTGTATTCGCCTCAGCAGACGAGCCTACCGTCCAACGTGTATAATCGTCAACAAAAGCGAGTGCTCCCTTTCTTCTGGTGATAGAGACATCCACCAGATTTGCATTCAGGAATAGGAAGAGAATAGGAGAGAGCGGCGAGCCTTGCGGTAGGCCCGCATGCTCGATAGCCATTTCCTCGGATTGGTACATATTTACGATGATCGACTCCCGTCGCGAGGAGCAGAAACTGTCAACCCATCGGATTAGGACCTCCGGGATTCTTCGTTCTCGCAGTCTCTGCAACAGGACACCCCGGTCCACTCCGTTATATGCACCCTTAACATCGAAGCTCACCAGACTGAGGACTTTGCCCTCACGCCACGCATCGTGTATCTTTTCCATTAGGATGTTAAGCACTTGCTCGCATGACCGTCTCTGCGAGCGCCAAAATGATTTGGGGGCACTAACTGGTGCTTTTCGACTAGGGCTGAGATTCTGTTGGCGACGACTGCTTCTAGTACCTTTCCGAGAGTCGCCAACAGCGAGATAGGGCGGTATGATTTTGGCAACGATGGGTCACGTCCACTCTTGGGTATCACCACGATCTTAGCTACCTTCCAATCACTGGGGAAGTAGCTGAGTCGGAGTGACGCTTGGAAGATTTCGACAACCCATTGTTTCACAGTAGGCCATATTTGTTGCCATACCACCACCGGCAGCGCGTCTGGTCCGGGGGCTTTCCATGATGCCATCCTCTTTAGAGCCACTTCGATCTCGTATTCCGTGATCATTTCCATCGGAAGGGGAATTGTTAGGGACAACGCAAAATTGTTGTTAGGGACACCGCAATTAACGTAATCCACGGCCGACCTGTCCACATGGCCGACCTGTCCACTTTCGCCGCACCCTCAATAAAATTGCGGCATTTCACCCACGAGACAAAATTATATTAGACTATCTAATCGCTGAATATATAGCTATTTACTAGGACAACTTCTTACAGTATGTCCTATAGTCCCACACCCACTGCAGCGCCGTGGAGCTCGCTGGCATGGCCTAGCAGTAGGCTCACTATGTTGCTCGTTCGGCTGCGTATCAAGCTGCTGAATGCGATTTTGACCCTCATCTCTAGATAAAAAGAGATCGTCGCCTATCTTACCACGCCTTCTTGCCTTCTTTTTCAGTTTCCGCTCATTCTCATCGCGTAGAACCTTGATTTCTTGTTGGAGAAGAACGTTCATGTTCATTGCCATCTGCGCAGCCTTTTCAAGATGTTGAATATGAGAAATTGGGCTACTAGAGAGCATTCTTTTTGGAAGGCTTCTCTGTAGACTACGGACCTCATGATATAGCTGGCGAGGTTTCTCAGGTGTTTGAAAAGTAGAGGATATTGATCCTTCGACAAGAGGTGGTGTTGGCGTCCGAAGTTGAAATGTAATCTTTTCGAGGACCCGGTCTTCGTTAAGTGGCTTAAGACCAGCTCCTGCAAAGCCATTCCGTTTATTCTCTAGATTAAAAACCATCTCGCGTGCAGGAGGATATAGGTGTAGGAAGTCTTCCTTGTCGATATGATTGTTGCCGGCAGTCATCATTCCTTCAACCAATTTCCCATAGGAACGTTTTAACGGGCCGAAAACACCAACATCGAGTGGTTGTAGTAGATGAGAGGTATGAGGAGGCATACAGAGACAGATAATTGCATTCTCTTTGCAAAAAGCATTAAACTCTGCAGTTTGGTGGCTAGAATGGCCGTCGAGAATAAGTAATCGCTTCGCACCGGTTGAAAGGCGTTTAGAATATGGCTCAAATGTCTCTTTTAGCCAAGCAAGGCCTATTTCATCTGTTGTCCAGCCATTTTGGCTTCTTGCAAGAACCCAGCCATTCTTGATAGCAGGCTCTTGATACCAAGCGACCTGGTGAGATCCAGCCTTTAAGATGACCCATGGAGGTATAGAAATGCCTTTCGAGCTCACAGATTCAATGATTGTAACCCATTCACGACTTCCCTGAATAACTCTCCGAGGTCTTTCACTACGATCTACCGCAGTGATAACCTTAGAGGTTGAACAGAGCCCCATTGCAAAGCCGGTTTCGTCAAAGTTCCAGATATCATCCTCATGGATACCATGTTCTAGAATAGCTTCGCGTACGGTCGCAAACCACTGTTTTATAACCTTTGGATCCTCCTGCTTTGCTCGCTGGTATGTAATCCTCCGGTTATATCTTGTTTGTATTTCAGGACGGCGTTTCGTAAAGGAGTAGGCCCAGTTAACCCCAAGGGTTGCTGAAGGATCCTGTAGACGCGCTTGGAGTAAATTCTGCGCCATTCCACGTAGAAACTCTGGCCGAATTGAAAATCCTCGTTTATCAGCATCTAGTAGCCGTTTAACTAGTGCTTCTTCTTCAGTCGCTGTTAATTTATGGCCGCTAGCGCGTGTTTCCGACCGTGGTTTGATTCCTTTCAGCCGAGAGAGTAAGGAGGATTTAGGCACTCCAAATATTGCCGCAAGCCTTGATTTTGATCCAACTTTTTTGTTTTTGTAAGCCGCAATAGCCATTTGCATTCGATTTTCTTGGGAAAGAGGCATTTTGTATGCTGGTGGTGTAAAAACAACGCGTTGAAAGATGTTGCCAGAAGGTTGGACGCGAAAGTCGACAGGTCGGCCGTGGTTTACGTTAATTGCGGTGTCCCTAACAACAATTTTGTGGTGTCCCTAACAATTCCCTTGTGGATCTATCAATTTTTTTGCTGTGGATGTATCAATTCCCCCCCCCTAACGTGTCCTTGCAGCATGCGCTCTTTTCTTCTTTTCTTCAATTAATTCATCCTATCTTTTTGGATTGGTTCCCCTTGGTAGATTAGCCCCATTCTTGCATACAATGCCATACTGTATCAGCTAGCTGCCACAGTATCTGTTGGAACAATAAATGACCGTATAGACTATGAATGTTGCCCATGGTGCATTTTTGGACTAGCGGTATTGTGCCCAATATTATGCAACAATATCGCGTCAAACATGTTGACGCGTACTGAACTATGGCAAGCTGTTAGCAACGCGAGGTCACATTGGCCTATTGCCCTTAAGGAGATTCACTGCCTATACGCCCACTACCTTCTGACTACCCACGAGTGGGCCGGCGAGCACCTTAAAGCTGTCAGCTGGCCTGACAGCACTCCCGCATAGCAGCATGTATTAAGAGCGAGCTACATTGGGCAAATGAATTTATCATCATCATCATCATCATCATCATCATCATCATCATCATCATCATCATCATCATCATCATCATCATCATCATCATCAGTATAGTACGGGTGGTTTACCAACAGGAAGAAAGATTTGGAATGCACCGTATCCAAAATTACCACAGGCCAAGGAAACAAGAGCTTGGTCATTTGTGTCCACAAGAGCAACTTGCTTTCCCCAAATCACATGAAGGGCTCAAATTGTTTTCACAGAGGGCAAGATGCTCTTCTTGACAACGAGTTTGTCGACGTTCTTCTGTCGTAAATAAACTTTGGGACTGAGTCCCTCTGCCAGAGCTCAAGCATGATCCGTGGAACACACAAACGGGCCCAAGGTGAGTGAAAGATCCCAAACAGAGAGAACCCTTTCCTTGTTATTGTGACAACAAATTGCTTTTACTGTGGGATGCTCTGTCTTAGAGCCGTAAAAAAAATAACTTAGAGCTGGGACAGAAGAAAGCTCATTGACAAACTCAGAAAATTAAGGTGGTATTGAGTTGAAAACAGCTCTGGGACATGCTTGCCGGAAGGAACGAGTGCTATCTTCCAGTTCTTTGCTGTCGACGAAAGTGGATGGAGAGATAGCTGGATGATTTCGTTTCACACTGATTGACAGGTGCAGAGTGTTCGATGAGGTGAGTGTGTCATTTGTGGCAGAAAAAGGACCCTAATCACAACGAGCACTGCCAACCAAGTGATAGAAAATTTTAATTTTCATGAAAAATAAAAATATTCATTGAAATTCAGTTTCCCACCCTGCCGACACTTAACACTTGTCTTTTAGAGTCATGTGCCTACCACGTGACTAAAATTACGAATATTTGGAGAAGATTGAAAAATTTCTTCGCATTCGCATTCACATTCGCAATGCAAAATATCTGCGAATGAATTTGTGATTCATGCTGACACTTGTGTTGTGATCTGGGGAGCGCCGAAGGCTTACCAAACAACACGGAAGACTGGCTCCAATGACAAAACCTTGTTTACGAAGGGGCGAACAGGGTGACGTCATTCGGAGTTCAGAGTCAACATATCAAAAGCATCTGACCGCCCAAAGCTGTTCGTATCTCCCAAATTGTCTTCTCCACCCAGGCGCTCAAAAGCAGAGAGTTCGAAAGGATCAGTGAGAGAGCCTCGAAGAAGATCTTTCCTGCACAATGGGGAGGGTCGTATTCATCAAACCAACAGTCAAATAAGCTTTCAACTCTGCTCCACTCTGCCCCAAAAGTCGAGGATCTACACCATGATAGGGTTTCTTCATTTTATTCTCGTATCAACAAGCAATTGTTGGCTTGGTTTGAAGAGAGATGGGGCCTCCAGGAGCTGGTGCTTGACGCTGACTTTCTTTTGTGGTCTTCTTATAATTTGGCGTTCTCCTCCCTCGATTTCCCTCTTTCTTCCTTCCTCCATGTTCTCACCACTTTCTTCTTTTCTCATTGAATACCTCCTACGCTCTGCCACCCACAGCCTTCTTTCAGCCACTTACTCACGATCTTTGGTTAATCCACATGCTCTTCAACATGCGTTTCCTCATACCGCTCTCTGTCCTCCTTGCCTCCGCTCTAGCCTCCCCTAATACATTCAAGGCCCTCTTGGATGAGATGTATGGCGACTGTGGAGGCGCTTGTGTTTCGACCGAATTCAAAGACAGCAAAGCTGCCTGTGGAGATCCGAGCAGCTCCGCATCCAACGCCTGCTTGTGCAAGAATTACGTCAACATTTTCTCTGATGTCGACGAGATGCGCTTAGGAACGTGTATCTCTAAGTGTAACTTGGACATTAGCAACCTGGACTATTCCAAGTTGGCGCAAAATGTTGGCGACATCTGTGGCTCTAACTTGGGCGCTGATACCACTGATACTGGGCCATCACCAAGTAACAACGCCAGTTCCAGTACGGGTGGAGCAGGGTCAACTTCTGTCGCTGCAGCGTCGAGCCCTTCACACACCGGTGCTGCAAGCACTACTGCGAGCTCCAAGACTGCACTTGCTCTGGGTGCTTTAGCCCTTTTGGGTTACGCTCTGTGATTCTGTGACATAAGGCAGATTGTATTGGTAGTATAGTCATGTCAAGTTCGAAACTAAAGAAACTTCCCATTTCAACAACACTTGAATCGTTCATGGGGGATGCAACGTATAGGAGCTTGTTTGAATTTCCACTCTTTTTTGACCTTTTCTTTAATATTCTATGCTGTGTGTATAACTTCATTCTTTCTTAATTTGGATTTTCTTTTCATTTACGGCATCCAGACGTCAGGTTTCTGTTTCATTTGACAAACCCCCGATATATCCGGCTTCGCATTCGCTTAGCCTCACAAGGTTAATTAAACTTAAAGTGTTGAATTGATTGTTCAAGATGGATCTATATCTTTCTGAATGATGATGTGGCAGGCCACCCACCCACGGACGAGAGGACCCGTATGAGCCAGAGACGGAGTCACATGGGGCATGGAAATTGGAGCCGGACGGCTTTCGCTCTTCTCGATCTTTCTGTTGAGATATGTGATTGTCTGATTGAATCTTATTGATTGACTTGAGGAGTGATCTATTACAGGGGCCAGATGCCTCTTATATATCTGTTCCCAATCCCTGCCATAAGGTTCAGCCACCGTGATACTCAACAACACGAACACTGCGAATATTATTCGCAGTTTTATTCGCAATACTAAAAGTGTGCGAATATGTTGAGTATCACGGTGGCTGAACCTTATGGCAGGGATTGGGAACAGATATATAAGAGGCATCTGGCCCCTGTAATAGATCACTCCTCAAGTCAATCAATAAGATTCAATCAGACAATCACATATCTCAACACGTGTGTTGCGAATACGAATAACGAATAATACCGATTCCTGCGAATATTCGTATTCGCAACAGCCCTACTTTCCTTGATCTTGACCGACACGTTTTCCTCCCGATGACTGGATGAGGAGTCGAACGAATTTGATGGAAAGATTCGGTTTTGATGGGGCGCCCTGACCACAGATCCAGCCACGCACGTGCCGGGACGGGAGCACGCACGGCGGTCGAATCAGGATGGCGAATGAATAGGATAGTGGTTGATCCCTCCAGCTACAGTACTCTCGCTTACTGGTGACGCGCGCTGTGGCCCTGAAACGAAACAAGCACGAAAGGTGAATCATAAGTTGAGGAATGATATATGGAAGTCGAACGATTAGTTTTGATAACCCACCGGAAAGGTACACACGTATGCCTGCTAGGACTAGCCAATTATGTACAGACTGAGTGACGTAGCAAAGTTTTGCGTAGGGTGTGATGATTGGACGAGCACGCAGCGAAAATATATCCATAAAGTCAAAATGAATTGAGAAGAGCGGGGCATGTATAAAAAGGAGATAGTTCACGCGATACATGAGCTCGTTATAAAAGTGAATCTGTCTTCGAAAATTTACGACTTCTCTTGGGTCGACGGCCCGGAAGGATTGTGTCAGCCGACGAACCGTCTTCCAGGCGAGTCGGTTGGTCAGCAGTTGTATCCTTACCGATGGGTTCTTCGCAGAGCTCAGATTCTATCAGAAGGCGAGGGTCACTAGAGTGACAAGTCTGGACATCGTCGTCTTGTGGTTGGGAATCAGAAGTCGAGGTCAGCGTGCGAGGTCTCTTTGTTGGAGTTGCTGGGTTGGCACGACTGTTCCATCTGTCTGCTTGTTTCTGCTTTCCCACCGATGAGGTACGAGTCACTGGAGCTGTAGTAATGAAGCTGAGATTTGGAATAAAAAAAACATCATCCACGCCAATTGCAAGCCGAGGCGTGTTAGTAGTGATACCGAAAATTCTCCCGTGATAAATATACGGGACTGTCTAGAAAGAACGGGAAATTTTGTCCAACGGTTTCCGTTCCTGAAGTAAATAGAAACTGTAAATGTCACCGACGCCTTGTTGGACGGGTCGTAGACATTAGTCTCGAGGTCGTAATGCAATAGATTAGACCCATTGTTCAACTGCCCCCCTCCGCCTCGGACTATTCCCAGTAAGCTAACTGTAGGGAGAGCGGCCTCTGGGCAGTGCATATTGTATGCATGAGGATCAGAATGGTCACCAGGATGGCTAAGGAAACCTTCAGCGGTGGGGAGGCAAGGGTGGCGTTGTGATACGGGATCTCACCAGTCAACCTCATGGGCGTGTAAAATCAAACGTAGAGACCCTTCCGGGTCGACACAGGTTAAGAACGAGCCCCAAGCATAGATGAATTTGTTGGGTTTGTAAGATTGAGGGTTACGCGGCGAGGCAAAGAAATGTATGGTAGTCGGAAGCTCATTCAATTCAACATCGTCTGAGTAGAGATCCGGTTGGAAAGGAAGATGTAAGGACGCCTCAATTTGTAGAGCAAGTCCCTGGCTGGGCCGAGATGGGTCGGGTCCCACGCTGTCTATGAAGTCCCTCAAGTGAAGAATAGCGGGCGAGTTAACCTGAGACGGCATAAGGGCAACGATCTGGGAGGAAATAAAGACCGAGATAGTGCAAGGCCGAAGGGTGATGGACAAGAAGAAGTGGCATTCAAGACTTTCACAGAGATATGAAATATATGTGTAAAAACATCTAGTGTCTGGATATCAAATTGATACAAGGTTGCAATGCAATGAAACGTACAGTATTATTTCCAAGCCACGCGGAGAGATTTGATCGTATATAGCGAGCGAGAAGGCTTGGGAAAATAAAAGTGCAGAGCGCATGATCACAACACCAATAATAAGGCCAGAATATCTTTACTAAAAGAGAATGATGATGTCGACAATGTTGGGCCAAGAACGTAGACAACGGTCCCCATCACAAGGATACGAGGTCCACGACGAAAGGGGGCTGCATGGGTGCTAGCATGTGTTAAAGTTCCGGAAACGCGAAGCCGAACCCAATAAGAATCCTTTCAGTGATGTTAGCGCGAACGCCATCCCCGAAACGAAAATAGCAGCAAAAACCCGATGGTGCGGATGGAGTCAGAGTGAGCAACAACATTGAAAAGCTACAAAAACGCCAGCAGGGGAGCGGATTGGACAAAGAACGGAAAACTAGAGTCTTTTCCGGTATAATTATTGTCCAATATCACTGGAAGCCTATTGTCCAATGATACCGAAGCACGGCGAGCCAATCATCGCGATTTCGGTCCATTTTCGCCACGATTTTGTATGGACTTTTGGCAGTCTGTTGAGTCGCGAAAATATGAAAAAATATATAGTTCGTGTCACGTGCATTCGTTTCCCCTTACTCTCACTTCGTTCGTTTCAGGGCATCGTTTCAGGGCAAGGTCCAGTCATGTGCAGGAAGTTTCCCCTTCCTCTCACTTCGTTCGTTTCAGGGCACCTCACGTGTAGCCATGGCCGAAATAACCCCTTACACTCGTTCCTCGTTTCAGGGCAAAGAGAAATGGCTTTAGAGTCTGGCGGATGCGGGCTTTCTCATCATACTAAAATAATCTCCATCCGCGCGTTGTGGTGTTGTGGTCACCTGCCACAATTTGCCTGTTGGATAGTCCATAATAGGATAAACTAATCAAATTTATGCTAGTGCGGATAGTTTGCAGACATCCGCGGACCATCCGCAGATATCCTCAACTCCCTGCGGAAAGGATGCGGATACGAAGGTAATATCCGCAATCCGCAAATTTGCGGAGCGGATGGCGAAGTGCCCTCCGCATTTGCGGATGTGCCGCAGCCTAGTCCATGTTTGCTCACCTATGGCGTTCAGCGGCAGGAGTCCAACTTGCACATCGATGCTGCATGCGAAGTACCGGCGCCCGTCTGGAATCTGGGGCGGAGTTCCTACCTCACCCGTACCTGGCAAAATTTGATCATCGACATCCTCGACGAGTTGCAAATTTGCAAGGGAGAGGTGAGATGCCGTGCAGGGGATAGCCCAGATGTTTCGTAAACTTAAGATTATCCCCTTCTTTGAGAAGGGCCCGTAAATAAGCCTCTTTGGTCTTTTCTCACTTCAGTGATTTTGCAAGAGATTCATGACTCGTTCAAGACGAAAGAACTCAGCAAATTGCATGCGATTTGTGTGTCCGTGTTGTTATTCACCTTGGATTTTGCAAATATATCGTCTGACGTGGCGAGAAGTGACTGGAGAGAGCAAGGAATGCCGGATGCATCTTTGAGTAAAATAAAATTATTTTTTGGGTGTTCTTGTGGTGATGAAGGGAAGAAATTACCCCTTGGCCGATGCACTTGTGAATAATAGATAATAGGCAAGTGGTCGGCAGGAGGGACTGCCTGGAAGCGGTCAAGAGGCGAATACACACTTCGGAAATTGCGGCCGGGTTTCCGAAGCAAAACTGCGTCCACCTCATCAAATAAGACGGAAGCTTATTTACGAGCTCTTTTCGAATTAGGAATGCGATCACTGGGACATCGCACTGTGGAAAGCCTTCTCAGTTTCACTTGTGTTTGGTGGCAAATCCGCATCTGTGGCCACTTGCTCGCCCCGCCCGAAGGCGCCCTTTCCTCCGTTCTCATGTGTAACTTTCCCGATGAGGATGTACCAAGAGTCAAGCGAATAAATCATTCGTGATTGACCCTTGTTCCTGGTCAAGTATAATATCTACTAGGATCTAGATTACAGCCTTTTGGAAATATGAAGAAACCACAGGTTTCATCTCGTCTAGGATTTGTTTCAGGCGGGACGCTTCCATTTCTTTCATCGCTATTCGTTTGGAGCACAGCGCTCCGAATGAGAGTTTTTCATCTGTTCCATTTCTTTTCTTTCGATTCATTTGGAAAGCGACCCTCATGACTTTCAGACTAATTTTGAACTTTCGAACACTTAATTGGCCTATCAGGACTGTATTGTTCTATGGGTGGATGGAGTCCTCCTGAAATTATCCTGCAACCTCGTGGATGGGGTCAGAGGGAATTTTTGAAGAGCGGGGCGCCTGCGGACAAAACAACGGACTCAAACGGGTCTGTTGGAGCACCTGAATAGTCCTGCACCTCATACCTCTGTTTGACCATGTCCACGACACGGGGCGCCCCCTTTTTGTTCAACAGGGTCGGCCCGTAAGCGCCCGTCGACACGCCCCACAAACTCCCGACCCCTAAACCTATGGCCAAATTTGCCTCGTCTCTGAAGGGAAAAAAATAAGTCCTCCCATTCTATTTTCAGTTCAAGACGACTTGTGTATTCTCACTCCCTACATATTACGTCTCAATTCTCTGACATTCCCTCCTTATCTCAATATAGGGAGGCTAATATACATGATATCTCCTTTCAATGTGACGATCTCACTTTGCAATCTCTTTTCCCTTGATATACTCGGTCAACAAAACCCAGAATCCACAGCCATGGCGTCTGGTAATGAGCGCGACTTCAACTGTTCGTGGGAGCATTGCGGCAAGGTAAGTTTCCCGGCGGATTCGAGCGGAGAACCAACCGCAAGCTGCTCCTTAATCTTTGACCGCCATGCTAGTCGTTGAATCGCAAGTCGGATCTCTGTCGCCATTATCGAATACACACCAACGAGCGACCCTATTATTGTACAGTTACGGATTGCAAGAAGACTTTCATCCAGCGCAGTGCTCTGACCGTACACTCACGGACTCACACCGGCGAGAAGCCGCATGTCTGTGACCACGAGGGCTGCCAAAAAGCATTCTCTGATGTGAGCACATACCCCAACACGACCTGTTTTCAGTATTTATTAACATGTCCAAGCAGTCCTCCAGTCTGGCCCGTCATCGAAGAATCCACACGGGTCAACGACCATATATCTGCCAAGACCCGACCTGTACGCGAAGGTAGGAACATAACGCAGACACCCATCGCGCCAAGTTCCAACCAGCTCACCCGTGGATGTTTTACTTCATAGTTTCTCTCGAAAAACCACTCTGACCAAACATCAACACCACTCACACCCACCAGTGTCCTTGAGCCAAACCCCCTCCAAAGACACGACCTCGAAACACTCATCTCGGCAGCAATCCCCGGTGAACGGCAACAGCCTGCATCTCCCCATCCAGCAGGCCTACTACGCAAACTCAGCGATCTCCAATTATGGATTCTACAGGCCACAAAGCGAGCAGGTGGGCTCGTTGGGGATGGACGAGGCCGCGCTGATCGTGACGCGCAACATCCCCGTCACCTCTGCGATGGACATGTCGCATGGGGCGCATTACGTACCGCAGCACCGTCAGGTGCACCCGTATCCAGAACAACAACATCAGCACATGCAGATGATCCAGGAGAGCTATAACCCGACTCCGCGCACCAACTATCTGTTGCCCGCATTCCACCATCCTTCGTTCCAGGACCAACAGCTGCCAGAGGACCAACCAATGATGGTGGGATACCGTCCTAATTTCCAGAAATAACCCGCCATTTGGACTTTCACCCAGCTGGAGGGGACTGACAGGGGCTTTCTTGATGCAGATTAAGAGGAACAAATGCCAACTAAGAGAACAGTTGATTTGCCTCTCACTATTTCTCTCCAGGAAGAGCTCATTCAGCGTCCGCCCGCATAATGTAACGTAACTTGGAGATGCTGGCGTTGCGCACCGTGACCCTGAAACGAGGAGGAGAGTGAAACTGGAGGATATGAAGAGTGTTCAATTGGCGGGTTCAGAGTGAGGGTGTAACGGGCCAGGGCCGATCTTCTTCCCGTGCTAAGACGTGAACTTACATCTTATCTACATCGCTCTGCACATTCTCGTTTACGTTTTGGTAAGCAATTCGAGGTCTAGCTAGATTGAATCAAGTCTTGCTTTAGCCGTTCACATACCAAAAGCTTCTTCCTAAAGAACATTGTTGAACGCACCTGCAACGACCAGGGAAACATTCTCGACACGCAATCGATCGAGCAACGAAGAACGATCGGGTCATTTTACCCCTGAAAAGAGTACCCAGTGACATGTCGACGACACATCGGCGATAGAGCAACGAATAACGAGCGGAACGCCGTTTAACTCACATGATGGCAAGAGGCAGCGAATCATCGATTCCACCCAGTTGGCTTCAAACCCTTATGCAGCAGATTTCTCAAAGCCACGCTACCAAAGAGAGCGCAGTGGTACCACAAAACAAGCGGAACTCCATACGGAACGAACGGAGGGCCGCACAGGACGAACGAACCCGAAGAATTGAAGCTTTGCTTCAGAATATAGTATAACGAATCGACATTGAACCACCCTCGAAACAACCCTGAACCATTCACCGCTATAACGAAGCGCCCGCGTCCCAGTCTCCCAAACCTCAGCGCCCTTCTCAAGAAGCAGTGTCGACTGGCCGACATGGAGTATCACGATGGAAAATAAGCGCCTGGTTGACAGAGCAGCAATCAGATCCCTACAAGAGCGTTATATCTTCTCTTGACTAATGAAGTTATCCTGGAATAACATCGCAACGTTCGTAAAATACCACCAAAATAACGACAGTCCAAAAGAGTTACTACAGTCAGCTCTCGCTATAGAGAATTAATTTTGGCAACAGTCCGCTTTTGTGTAATCGAGGATTTCGCTATACCGTATATCAACCTGATGCCTATTTTGGATCGCTGCCTCTTGAATTTCCCTCTCAAGTCTACTCAGGCGCCGAATTAGGGCTGTATCTCCTTCTTCCTGCTGTTCCTGATGCAGTCGTGGCGTACGTGTTGTGATACAAGCTTTGTGCGACTACCGCTCCGCACGAATCGAATTGAATCTAATCGAATCGAACTTTTGTCTAATGGTCGGAACCTGACCAGACATTGCTTTTGCGCTCGGGACGTGAAGCCGTTTTACATCTCGTCCGCAATTGCACCATCAAGCAGCGCTACAACGTCTTCTACGCTATCTCAAGGCTACTCAGTCATATCAGATCACCTACCGAACGGGACAACTGATTGGACATACCGACGCAGATTTCGGCGGATCTGTGGTCACTGATGGTGCCTACTCCACATCAGGCTACATATTCAAGCTATCTTCCTTTGAATATCATCACAAACCTGTCCACCCATGGGCCAAGGGGTCGTGTCCAAGGCCGCCCATGGACGGCCCATTGATGCCACGCATGACGAGTGTACCCAGGAACCATCGCTTTGCTCCTAGGTGCATAATGTACTCTTGTGAGGGTCTCACGTACGCATAGACGTGGATACCGTCTCAAGATGAAAGATCAACATTAACAACAGCTATAGTCGACTCTAGATACAAGGCGTAGCGCGAGGAAGCAAAAGAAAGGAGCTTCCTCGCGTTCAGGGGAACCCAGATAAGCTATGGGGATCCGTCACTCCGTATATCCTCCGCTCATCGTATATGCTTCATGTAAATCCATGACGACTCTCCTCAGGAAACGGTTTTAGATCTCCCGAGAGCTGATCTGTTTTGCTGCTAGGAACACACCACATGCTCCCGTGAACCACAGCCGAGGAAGCATCTGTGTGAGGACCTAAATAAACCCAATCCAGGGGGGATAGATGGCAGTGGTGCATACATGGGCGCACCGAGTAAATCAGTGGGATTTTTCACCTTGAGCACTCGGGGTACCAGGCGTGAAGGACGGGGTAACAGAAAGTTGAGGTCATCGTCCCCTCACCAGGACAGACCGCGGCCAAAGGCTGTGATTTACCGACCTGCAAAAGTAGGCCACAATGGCAACGATCAACGAGACAGCTGCAGAAACGGACTTAGTGATTTTGTGGAGGCAGTGACGCTGCTTGTTCCTTCGGATGCAACATAATTGCTCCAGAAATCACAAAGGATGATGATCCTCAGACGATCTCGTATTTGCGCCCGAAAGGATAGCTTGAAACCGACGAAATACGAGAGACGGATCCCCGGACGGCTTTCCGTTAAGTCATAAACACCGTTGTATAAAAACATGAGTCTGCTGCAAATTATTTATAGTCAAAAGTCAAGTCAAATCTGGCCATTTTGAGTAATGAACACGAAGAATGCCAGTCTGATACACGGAATAGCTACTTCAAGACAGCGACAATCGATAAGCACTATGCTAGAATAGTAATAATCTCAACCTTGCTGACCTTGAGACGTTGAGTCCTGCTCTCTAGGGCAATAGATTTGCAGACCTATTCATCCCCTGAAGCTCAACAACCACAAGAAGAACCTGACGATTGAGAAACTATAAATGCCGGCTCTTTCGCGCTGAGAAAATTTGGTTGAGTCAGATCTTCACCACCAATTGTTTTCCGAAATTCGTCTCTTCGCTATCCTTCCTGCTATCATCTCCCTGGCTGCGGCGACGCCGCCGCCCCATAGAACAATCAAGCGTCACCCCATCTCGGATGTCCAAAACAGTGCTGCTCACGCTTTGGCTCAACAGAGGCTTCTGGTTGTGACTGGCTCGGTGCGTATCATCTCCCTGGATGTGGATCTAAGCGGTCGAGACCGCTTAGATCCACATCTGGCACTGTAGTGGTAGCTTGACCGCTGTCTCGTGTCCATTCTGTTCTGCTGAAAATAACGGCACCAGTCCGAGCTCAGAATCCTTAGAGCGGTCTGACGTCCTTCGTGCTGAGTAGCACCTTGACCACTGCCTCGTGTCCGTTCTGTGCGGCCAACAATAGCGGCGTCGCCTTGAGAAAATCCTTAGAATCCAGGTCGATACCCTCCACGGCGAGTAGTAGCTTGACTACCGCCTCATGTCCATTCTTTGCCGCCAACGATAGCGGTGTCTGTCCGTAGCAATCCTTACTGTCGGAGTCGACGCTTTCCGTTGCAAGCAATAGCTTGACTACTCCCACATGTCCCATCGCTGCAGCACAGCATAACGATGTCCGTCCGTTAGCATCCTTGGAGTCGGGGTTGACGCCCTCCGTTGCCAGCAGTATCTTGACCGCCGCCTCATGCCCCATCACTGCAGCACACCATAGCGGCGTCCGTCCGAGTTCAGAATCTTTAGAGTCTGGGTCAACGCCCTCCATGACGAGCAGCAGCTTGGCCACTGCATCATGTCCGTTCTGTGCTGCCAACGAGAGCGGCGTCCGTCCCAGCTCACAATCCTTTGAGTCTGGGTCAACGCCCTCCATGACTAGTAGCAGCTTGACTACAGCCTTGTGCCCGTTCTGTGCTGCCAATGACAGTGGAGTCCGTCCGTGGGAATCCATACAGTCGGGGTCAACGTTTTCCGTCGCAAGCAGTAGCCGGACCACTGCCTCATGTCCCTTCGCTGCAGCATACCATAGCGGCGTCCGTCCGTAGGCATCCTTGGAGTCTGGATTAACGCCCTCCATGACGAGCAGCAGCTTGACCACGGCCTCATGCCCCATCACTGCGGCACAGCATAGCGGCGTTCGCCCGATAGGGTCCATGGAGTCTGGGTCGACGCCTTCCACGGTGAGTAGCAGCTTGACCACCTTCTCATGACCCTTCACTGCAGCACACCATAGGGGCGTCTGTCCATAAGAGTTCTTAGAGCTTGGGTCGACGCTTTTCGTGTTGGGCTGCTGCCTGGCAGCGACTTGATGCCCGCTCTCTGCTACCAGCGTCAACAGTGCTTTGCTCGATTGAGACATATTTGAACCCGCTTGATATTGGTGTTCAACGGTATTGATTCTCATAAAGTCACGTGGCTCAGCACAATTGGGTGCGGTTATACATTCCTTCCTGTTTGGCTTTCCAGATTGGGAATGAGTTCAATTTTGCAGAAGTATTCAGGGTTGTATCGGGAGGAAGCCACTTTATAGTCAACTAGGCAAACGAACAAGAATTGTTCGCAGTATAAGGCATAATCTGGTAATCTTTACGAGCTGCAGGTCTTAAATTTAAGTTTCCTTCTCGACCCCATAATGGTGGCCGAGACCGTGCCATGGAATGCTTAGACTACAAGCTCCCCCGTTCCCCTTCTCTCCCTCCCCGCCCCGAGGGCGGTGAGTTTAAACTCAGCCACGAAAAGGACGATTAAGTTTTTCGTTGGTTGCTAGGGGCTATTCTCGTGAATTGGATGACTACTGGTGGATCGTGATGGCTTGGCTGTGGGACATCATTGACATTGGACGGAAAAAACACGAGCACAGAGTAACGGGGTACGGGGTGGATGATTTGCTCCTCCAATGCACTCAACTGGTTTAATTCTGCGAGGTCCTTTTTCTCGTGGTTGAAGTTGTTTACACGTATTCTACCCTCTACATGGTTGAGCTAGCCGAGCCCAGGGGCTTCACTTGGTATAAAAAGAGTGGAATAGACTGTTTGGGCTCGATTCACAAGACATACATATTCCATGGTAGACAATCATATATACACCATGTTGTGAGACTCATTGAGAAAAATAGTAATGCTAATCAAGCCCCGTGAGACACATCCTACCTCTGCTCATGCTATGACGACGAAGGTCTTTAATAGACCACGATGCAGGGAAGACAAGATGAACAAAGAGACTTTGGTTTACAGCAAACAGGAGTGTCTATCCTCACTCTCTTCAAAACTCCTTTCACTGCTGTGACCGCTCCACCGATTCAATGCGGTTCAATGCACCCCCTAAGTCCCTTCATCGGACAATAGACTAGAATGCGGACGGAGTCTGCCACAAGCTGAGGAACAGGCCAAAAGTAGCTTAGTCTCCAAGTCAATTGATGATCCTATTCGACTACGTCGCCGTGAGTCCCCAGATGTCTTGCCTGCCTTGGACAGGAGTGTTGCACCGAGAATTAGCAACACAAGAACACGCGCACAAGACATATAGTAGCTACCTTCGTCCCACGGTGTGACTATCACCGCCTCCCACCATCTTGTACCTTGTTCGTGATCCTCAGCATCTCTCGTGCTCCACAATATTGATATCATGATCATCCCAAATCCTCTGTTTTGGTGCTGACAGCCACCGACAAGCTTTCTTGGCAAAGTATAAAGCTACGTTTAGTGCCTCAACAAAACGCGGCTTTAGTCAGGTTTCCGCCTTGAAGGAACTGCCCACAGTTAACCCGTGCTGGTTTTAGGTACACTGAACTAGACTTCCGCATAACCCAGCCCAACCCAGGCTGGGTTGAGCTTTGGGTCGGAGTCTCCGACCCAGCATTGGGCCCGGGTCGAGATGTCTAACCCAGTACTGGGTCCGGGCCCCCAACTTGGGTTATAAACATTGCAAACACGCCTAGACCTGTGACTACATAAATTATGCATTTTTTGTCTGTAATATTAGGTATTTCTAGTACGTACCTACACTTTCTGACGTACCTCAGAAAGTAAGCTTGTAGAGGTCAATATCCTTATAAGCACTACATTAGGGAGGTGTTCCTTTTGACGTACCTCAGAATGTGAGGCTTTTTATAAGGTCTAGTGAAGAATAAAGCTTTGATCAATTGGCTATACTACTAACGTAGTTCCCAAGCGAGCCGGCCACCCAAGCCAGCCGGCCACCCCAAAAACACATCTTAAATGCGATAAATTAGCACTCCATATCTCAACAACCATCGACTAACTTTACTTGAATATTGGCAGGTAGGCTTTACTTAGCATAGGGATTAATATATCCTAGTTTTAAATATTTTAAAATGATCGCCTTGCAACGTTACAATAAAATACACTGTAATTTTTGTATTCTATACATAAATATATGTATGTCTCTCTTCTAATTAGATTTTATATGTCAAAACCACGCCAGTGGGCTGGTGACGCTATCTAGACCATCATGTCCAAATATGGTATTCTAAATCGATGTTTTTGTTGAGATATGTTGTGGTATTTTATCGCATTTACTATGTGTTTTGGGGTGGCCGGCTCGCTTGGGAACTACGTTACCTAAAACAGAGCTAATTTTTATAAATACGTGTTTGCATTGTTTGTGGCCCAATTGGGGGCCCACGGCCCATTATGCGCTGGAGCACTCGGCCCAAAGCGCAACCCATTCGTAGGTTGGGTTGGGCTGGGTTGGGCCTGGGCCGACGTGGGCCCTGATGAAGCCTAGTTCTCATGAATCGCGTCCAAAAGATGGACTTTTTCAGCTTCATTTAGCTTCTTTGGGCGGCCAGAACGAGGCTTTGAAACGCCAGAACGTCGTTCTTGCTCCTTTTTAATAGTGTAACAATTGGCCCCTCGCCAGTACTAGTCGATACCGATATCCGAAAGTCCGACAGTATTGAAACACCACTAAATTCCAGTCTTCGGCCCGATGTGTCGAACTGAGTGGATATTAAAATACCGCTAGCCCCTTCTAGGACGTGATTATGGAGCGTATATTTGATCCACCACCTCTTCGTGCAATAGCCAGATAGGATTTTAGTTCTTCAATAAACTTTGTTCAATTGGTTCCCTCAGTACTAGCCTGTACGGAAATCCTGCGATCCGTTACGATGCTTAGCGTACTAGTGCGGGGTATAAGGCTAGTATCAGTGCCTTGGCAGCGCATCTACCTTTTTCATACGGACTGAGTGGGGCTAGGGAGAACAAGGTGCCGCAATAGGTTAGCGGTGACGTGCAGTTGGGCTCAAAGTGGAATATGATTGGGTTAGAGCAGTTTTTCGGAAAGAGCCAAATGTGGGTACGGCATGGTTGCGCGTTCAAAGCCAAGCAAAGCTTATGTCGAATTGACCAGATTCTGTATGAACTAAACATATGAAGAACCAATTGCATTCAACGTTGATCAAATTGATGAACTGATACAAAAACATCGAGCTGGGGATCAGTTGAAGATACCCATGGGCGAAATACTCCGATACCCGACGTAATAACACCGTACTTGCGGCGTAGGTCCAATTTTACAACTGAGAAATAGAACTTAGGAAGAAAGTTTCACCAATCCGAAGATATGTCCGATGTCTCTACCGCCAAGACACTCTTACCTGTCGGAGATTTATCGTATCAGTCGGATCCGAATTGATAACTGAAAAATTTGCATTGCCATTGTCAGCTCCTTTGAACGATGGGAGAAAAGAGACAGTCTCGAATTCCCAGTAGACTCGATCGTTTCTTTCTTTGGGATTTCAATATTAATCGAAGTATGTCACCGAGTCGCAGGCGAAAAGAAATTTCCAAGTCGTCACGACGAATGGCCAGTGACAGGCCTGCCAACATCCAAGCCAGGGCGAGATAGCACGCGAAATCGTCCATGACGTTGATGAAACTTGGAACAGGATGCTAGGCTCCCAGTAACTATGCTTAGGCTGGTTACAAGTCAGGCCACGGGGACGTCTCCTGAACCCTAGGCCTTTGAGCCAACCAGGCTCATTATTGTCGGAGTAAGTTTTGAACGTAAGGTTCTGATTGGTGAACACGTCTGGTTGCTTTCTGGCCACGACACTACAAAGGCTAGTAGATTGGTGGGACGCTATCCCCGCATTTATACGGCAGTTAGTGTGAGAACAAACAGGTAGAAAGTCAAACCAACATCCTGACCAATAGTAGAGGTACCTTGATGGTCCCTTCCCTCCCCGCCTTGGGAATTCGACAAATGTTGATTGCGATCTTCGGAGCAGAGAGTCTGCCCCCTTCGATCTGAGCTGACACTCCTTTGGCAGTTTGCCAAGTGTTGATTGCGGTATTCGGAGCAAGTAGTCAGAGGTACTAGTGTTGGCTCGGTTCTAATATCCAGAAGAGCATTTAAATGCAACAAGGGGTCCATCTTGATGGGCATGCATCCACAATCCCAGAGTCTTCTCTGTCCTCTTCCAGCAGAAACTTGCCTCTAATTGCTCTAACCTTCGCCATGAGGAACTATATGGCTGCCGGATGGTTCTACTCCCCGAGTCAAATTGGTCGGTATTCTGTGACTCGGATCACCAGCCTCAAGCCGCCCAAGGTAAGCTGCTTGCTTTACTGCTTTTCTTTAATTCTAACTTGCTTCCAATAAACAGAACAAAATCCGCAATCCAGTATCGGTCGTACGAGAATTGACTACTCACCAATGGCTCATGTTCTTCGTCGGGTTCCTGGGTTGGACTTGGGACGCATTTGACTTCTTCACGGTGTCGTTAACGGTGACAGAGATTGCTCAAGACTTTGACGTTTCTGTCACTAGCGTGACTTGGGTATTTTATGTCAATAATGTCACTACGTTAATCTCGGTACCTGACATTGCTTCTAGGGCATCACCGTCACTCTAATGCTCCGATCAGTCGGTGCTTTGGCCTCGGGTTTCTTCGCTGATAGATATGGAAGAAAATGGCCGTTCATAATCAACCTGTGCTTTTTTATCATCCTTGAACTCGGGTCGGGGTTTTGTCAGAACCTGCGGCAATTCTTGGGAGTACGCGCTCTTTACGGTATAGCAATGGGAGGTACGTTCGAGTATCGAGTTCCAACGGACTGAATACATCAACTAAATTACTTCAGGTCTCTTCGGTTCTGCAGCCGCTACGGCGCTTGAGGACCTCCCTTACGATGCTCGCGGCGTCTTGTCCGGCTTCTTTGAGATGGGGTATGCCATCGGATATCTTCTTGCAGCTGCAATGTACCGTGCATTGGTCCCAACTACAACCCACGGCTGGCGTAGCCTTTTTCTGGTTCGGAGCAGCTCCCCCCGTGCTTATTATCCTCTTCCGCCTCATGCTTCCCGAGACCAACTATTTCCAAGTCATGGTAGCCGAGCGTGAGGAGCGAAGCCGACAAATGCAAGCCGAGAACGATCAAGCTCATGTCACGGGATTCCAATCGCTCCTTAAGTATTCTAGAGCAGCATTCAAGGAGAATTGGGTATTATTTATCTACCTAGTGATCCTGATGACTGGGTTCAATGCTTGCTCGCACGGCAGCCAGGACTTCTATCCAACCTTCTTAAAGGATCAGGTCGGCTTCAATGCAAACCAGGTCACCATCATCACGGTGGTAGGTCAAGCGGGTGCGTTTGCTGGTGCCAACTTCTTCGGCTACATCAGTACCTTTTTTGGCCGACGCTCGACTATGATGGTGACTTGCGTCATCGGTGGTGCCTTAGTGCCCAGCTACGTCTTACCTCGTGATATGAGCCTGATCGCAACCGTTTTCTGGGAGCAGTTCTGTGTCGGGGGTGTCTGGGGTCCAATCCCGATCCATCTCATGGAGGTCTGTCCTCCCGAATTTCGCTCACTTATGGTTGGATTTACGTATCAACTCGGCAATCTAGCCTCTTCTGCGTCTGCGACGATTCAATCAACAATCGGATCCAAGTATCCTTTGCCTCCCACCGCTACAAACCACAAGCGCTTCGACTACGGTACGGTCATGGGCATTTTTCTTGGCGCGGTCTGGGCCTATATCTTGTTTTTCCTGTTCTGGGGACCAGAGATGTCAGCAGAAGAACGGGACGACGAAGCCGAAGCTGCTAAGTACCTAGAGCAACGGCGTGCAGAGGGGGCCAGTCTCGCTGAGATTGGGGTTATGCGAGCCAGGGGCCTGGATAAACTGGAGGGCCAGGCTCATGATAATGTCGAAAACGGAAAAGAAGCTTTTACAGAGCATGTGGAGTGTTGATCGGGTGCTGACTGATAGAGGCCGCTATCTCAGGTGTTAGCGCCTGTTTGCTGTTTGCTCTTCCGAGGTTTTTCCTCCGTTCTGCTCTTTATAGCTTCCTTGAATATTGATCATTCATCCGGAGGACGCTGTCCTCATATACGTATACGTGAGACCCTCCACCTATGACATTCGGTGACGATATTATCCACAGTATGATGGATTCGATCGCGCGGGCGCTGCGACGTAACAGCGACCGTCATCGACTCGCGACACACCAACAGTAGGCCTTAAGAGGTGTGATTAGACCTCGCCAAGCGCGGGTTTGGATTGGGTTTTCAACTTCTTTACCCGCCCACGGGTTCTTGGCGGGTACCCGCGGGTTGCCCAAAATACCCCAAAACGGGTTCCAGTTGAGCGGGACCCAGAATTCGCTCAGCGGGACCCAGCCGGCTCGGAGCTATTATAATTCCGTTCTGAGTCCCGTTCAACTCCCGCACTTGAACGGGACCCAAATATTTTGGGTCTTGCTCAGGAGTTATCCGTGATTTTATGCTTTTATGTCGAAATTATACGCGATTACCTAAGGGTTCAACTGGGGTTGAACCCCAGTTGAACCCCTACCCCTCTAAACTGTACTATACCTCTATTAACTCTATACAATATCTCTTATTCTCATGTCTACCACTCTCGATCTCGATTCTTTTGTTACAATCGATCAAACTGACCTTTGTAATGATAAATGAAGCATAGACACAGAGGGTTATCAAAGAAGTTCTAATGTTAGTACGCAAGTGTAAACAATGAAGTAAGAGATATATATCTTCATAATACTACCGCCTGCCGTACTACCGCCTCTCTTTCTCTCTTCCATAACTACTCCAATTGTCTACCTAAGGCAATACTTATTTCTCTTGCTCTGACACTCCTGATCTTGTTTTTTTGCCTTCACCGAGCATATCAGAAACATCACTATGGCAAATCTTGGTGTTTTCCCAGGCCTGGGCCCAACCCGGGCCGACTTTGACAATCCTACAGTCTTAGCCGCGGTCAACCCCGACCCAATCGTGGGTTATGCCATGGTATGTTAACGCGACACATATGGTTTCAATATGCTAAACATGTACAGGCCCGATTCCCGACAACAACCCTGGTTGGAAGCCGACTGCGTATACAGCAGCTATTGCTAGCGGCGCCAACAAGTACGAGATCAAGGCTGCTGATATTACGGCTACTCCTCCCCCTAACCCAGCCGTGGTTCTGAACAAGGAGAACACTGAGGTGTGCTAACGCTGCACTAGCTGTAGCTTGTGCATCAGCAACAATCTCAGGGTCATGGGGCCCAAATAGGGGTGGTGGGAAGAAGGAATGTGACATGTTGTGGAACACACACAACACACACAGAGTATTGAAAAGGGGTAAATAAACGTGACTGAGATTATTTCAGCGCTAAAAATTATTATATAATACAAGTTTTTGGGTCGGGAATTGTTACGGACACTAACTAACGTAGTTCCCAAGCGAGTGACGCACCCAAGCGAGTGACGCACCCAGGCGAGTGACGCACACCGCCTACCCCTACATTTTTAAAATGATATTAGACTACTAAAAACACTATTAAATTCAAAAACTATAGACTAGGGCACCGAGTAATTGAATGGCCAATACTATTGCAGCCGCTACATCTCCGCGGTGCACGTTTGGCTGGTGGGGGTGGCAAAATAGGTGATTCAACCGGTGCGGGCGGATGCTGTTCAACAGGTTCCACTGGCTGCACTGGCTGTACTGGTAGTCGCAAGCCCTCTCCAACTGTAATACCCTGTTCGCATCGAACGAGACGATTCGTTCTTGCTCGCTTTTGCCGTTTCTTCTCATTCGCAGCCCGTAAATCAGCAATTTCCTGCGCTTGCAGCACATTGGTATGCATTGAGACACAGTAACCCTTGATAATCTGATCTAGGATAATCTTTGATGGGGAAGGAGGGCTTCTTGATCGTTTTCTAAGTAGTTTTTTGAGTGAAGAAAACTGTCTTTGTACTTGTTTGACTGTTTTTGGCGTTTTCGGACTGAACTGGCTCGATCGGCTGCTTGGGCGGCTAGGTGGTGGTGGAGGTGTTCGGAGAGAAATATTCAGTTTTGAAAGCAGCCGTTCAGGATCTAGTGGAACTAGACCTGCTGCTGTGAAACTATGTTGAATAGTCTCTAGTTTAAAGGTCTCTTCTCGTGCCTGAGGATACTCTGCTAGGAAATCTAGCTTATCAATATGGTTAAATCCTAGCCGTGCCTGATTGGTAATCAGACGACTATAGGCACGCTTAAGAACAGCAAAACATCCAATATCTAGAGGTTGAAGAAGATGGGATGAATGTCCTGGCATGCAGAGTGGGATAATTGAGTTTTCAGCGCAAATTCGGTCGAATTGAGGCGTGAGATGGCTACCATGGCCATCAAGAATCAGAAGGCGATGCTTTCCTTTCATCCGACTTGAGGTGAATGGGATGAATAGATTTTGAAGCCATCGGACGCTAATTTCATCTGAAGTCCAGCCATTAGGTGAAACTTCAAATCGCCAATCTTTTGGAAGGCCATCAAGCCAACCGATGTTGTGGTTTTTGGCTTTGAAGATTATACATGGTGGAAGAGCAAAACCTGCTGCACTGATTGACTCGATTGTAGTCACCCATTCACGATTTCCTGGCTGTAGAACTGCCCGACGACCATAGTACTCGGCTCGAGTAACCACCTTTTGTGCTGAAATAAGGCCCATCGCGAATCCAGTCTCATCAAAGTTGTAGATATCATCTGATTGGATGCCGTTCTTATTGATCACATTTTGAACGGTTTTAAACCACTCACGTAAGACCTTCGGGTCCTCGTTTTGAGCACGTTGATAGTCATAGCGTCTTGAGAAGCATGTTCGAAGCACTTTTTGGCGATTGATAAAATTTGATGCCCAGTTTTTTCCAACTGTTGGTGAGGGGGTGTTTCCGCGGTCGGCAAGTAGAATATTCGCTATTTCTCTCACAGTTGAGGGCCTAGGCGCTGCACCGCGTGAATCCATTGAGAGTATCCACTTTACAAGCGATTCTTCTTCAAATCCAGTCAATTTATGACTATTAGCGCGTGTATTCGCGCGAGAAGACTGGCCCGCACGTCGGCGGCGGATTGTAGCCTCAGATACGCCGTATGTCTTGGCTGCAGCGCGAAGACTAGGAAATTGTCCTTTTTGAAGAGCCTGAATGGCTAATAAGATCCTGCCCTCACGATTAACCGAACCCTGGCTTGATTGAGCGTGTTTTGGTGGCATGGTGGGTGGTTGAAAATAGTGGGTACGCGTCAGGACGCCATTTTTGGTGGGGTGCGTCACTCGCTTGGGAACTACGTTAGTAAAAAGCTGTTGTGTCCGTAACAATTCCCTGCCGCGAGGGGAATTGTTAACGTAATTCCCGGCTAGCCGGTCATCCCGGCTACGCGGTGTTGGAGCACCTGAATAGTCCTGCACCTCATACCTCTGTTTGACCGTGTCCACGACACGGGGCGCCCCCTTTTTGTTCAACAGGTGCGTCACTCGCTTGGGAACTACGTTAGTTAGTAAAAAGCTGTTGTGTCCGTAACAATTCCCGCGAGTCGGCACCACAAGCGAGTCGGCAGTTTTCCCTAGCACCACCATCAAGCACTATTCAACGCGACTTTATTCCACCACCACTATTCAGAATGCCTCTATCTCAAGAAAACCGAATGCAAATGGCCATACACGCGTACAAAAGCAAGCAAATCCAATATCAATCAAAAGCTGCTGGAGTATTTGGCGTACCAAGTTCAACCCTTCAAGATCGACTCAGGGGAATGAAATCACGGTCGGAAACGCGTGCCAATTGCCATAAATTAACAGTTCATGAAGAAGAAGTCTTGATCAAGCACCTGCTAGACGCTGATAAACGAGGCTTATCGATTCGACCCGAGTTTCTACGGGGAATGGCGCAGATTCTTCTTCGCGAGCGCACACAAGATCTACTGCAACCCTTGGCGTTAACTGGGCATATAAGTTTGTTAAACGCCATCCAGCACTACGTACACGGTATAACCGGCGGATTACATACCAGCGTGCAAAGCAGGAGGACCCAAATATCATTAAACAGTGGTTTGCGACCGTACAAGAGGCTATTCGAGAACATGGTATCCACGAGGGTGATATCTGGAACTTTGATGAAACTGGCTTTGCAATGGGGCTCTGCTCAACCTCTAAGGTTATTACCGCAGTGGAGCACAGTGAAAGGCCTCGCAGGGTTATTCAGGGAATCGTGAATGGGTCACAATCATCGAATGCGTGAGCTCTGGAGGGATTTCTATACCGCCATGGATTATCCTAAAAGCCGAATCTCACCAAGCCACTTGGTATCAGGAGCCTTCTCTTTTTAATAAGGGATATGCTCTTGTTAGAAGCCAGAATGGCTGGACAACGGATGAAATTGGCTTTCGCTGGCTAAAGGAGATGTTCGAATCATATTCTAAACGCTACTCAACTGGTGCGAAGAGGTTGCTTATTCTTGATGGCCATTCTAGCCATCTGACTGCAGAATTTGATGATTTTTGCAAAGAGAATGCAATAATCTGCCTCTGCATGCCTCCCCATACTTCTCATCTTCTTCAGCCACTAGATGTTGGTGTTTTTGGGCCGCTTAAACGCGCGTACGGGAAATTGACTGAGGAAATGATGGCTGCCGGCAACAACCATATTGACAAGGAAGACTTTCTACACCTATATCCACCTGCGCGCGAAACTGTCTTCAATCGGGAGAACATATGCAGTGGATTCGCAGGAGCTGGTCTTAAGCCACTTCATCCAGACCGAGTTCTTGAAAGGATTACCTTTCAACTTCGCACGCCAACACCACCTCTATTAGAAATTGAAAGTTCAAATTCCTCTACTTTTCAGACACCTCTGAATCCTCGTCAGGTTATTCATGAGGCGCGTCGCCTACAGAGAAGTCTTCGAAAGAAAAGAATGCTTTCTAGCAGTCCAATCTCGCATATTCAGCACCTCGAAAAAGCGGCGCAGATGGCAATGAATACAAACCTACTTCTTCGACAAGAAATTAAAGTTCTACGAGAGGAGAACGAGCGAAAAATCAAAAGAAGGGCAAGGAGACGTGCTAATCTTGGTAATGAACTTGTTTTATTTGTGCATGAAGGTCACAATCGAGTTCAGCAGCTTGATACACAGCTTAATGAGCAAGTTGATGAGCCTAGTCCTAGGCCTCGCCAGCGAGCTCCACAACGCTGCAGTGGCTGTGGGACTGTCGGACATACTATACGAGGTTGTCCTAATAAATAGCTATTCATTTGGTGTTTTAGATGGTCTGGTAGAGTATAACTGTGGAGTGTTAAATATAAATAATACAATGGGGCGCGGCGAAATTCGCCGCTCGGTGGTTGAGTTGATATGTTCTATTCGGGACTGTTGCATGAGAGCCCCGTGCGTCGGGCCCACGATATTCCGTGCTGGACATCTCACACAAATATCGCCTGGCCTGCCCCTCCCTCGAAAAGAACATCGCCGTTTCGAGGGAGAGCCGGGCTCTCTCCGCGACGGCTTCTTCCCGAGTTCCTTTTACAATGGTGCGTCATAGTTCGGCGGCCCCCAGTCCAACCCCTGGGGGACAGACCACCTTGGGCTCCTCGATCTATCCACCAGAGTATATATGGAACTCCCTCTCCGACTCCCAGCGGGACTCATTCATCTCTACTGTGTCCGCGTCTCTTGTTGCGGGCGACGGGCAGCGCAAGCGCCCACGTTTAGACCTCACGGGGGAGGAGGATGCTGACGACGGTAGGGTCCCATCTCTTGTTTTGCCAGTCCCTCCCCGCTTCCCAGGTCTCGATCGTGCTGCTATTATTGCCGTTTTCGAGCACACCTTCCGACCAAAGAAGGACCTCATAAAATTCCGTAGCCCTGAGTTCAAGGCCTCGGCACCGGATGGCGAGTCCTTCGATCTAAAATCCACATCATCTGGCCTGCAATTCCGCAAGGTAGTCTCAATCAAGGACTGGGGAAATGACGTTTCCCTCTGGGCCCATTGCTTCAGCAATTACATCGCTGTCTGGTGTGATTTCTTCGCTGCTAAGCACCCGTTATGCATCAGTGGAATGGTCCTCTTCCACCGCCGCATTTGCGACCTTGCCAGGGCATATAAATGGCAGGATTGTATCCTGCAGATGGCCTTGGACCACCACCAGATGGTCGTCGATAAAGGCGACCTTACCGTTTCTCTCAGTGACTGGGAAATTGG